TCACTATAATGCAGAGCAGTGAGGAGAGAGAGAGAGACGCTCGGCCAGGATCTGACAGCCGGCGCCTCTCTCTCCCCTCACTGCTCGTCCGTTCTGTCACAGCGGCTCCGCCCCCCCCCCCCCCCCCCCCCCCCGTGGCTATGCTATGGATAAGTCCTGACCACACTACTACCGCACTACTACCTATGAAGCTATTACAAAATTCAGGGCCAACTATTTATTATTGTTTGATAGTAATCAAGATGTTTCTGGCAGCATTATCATTGACCAGTGCCATGATTGTTTGCTGATTGATTTTTTTACCTTTGTTTCAGATACTATCCTTATTGCTAGTTTTAGGACTATGATCCTTGAGCAATAACAGTTCATCATATTAGTATCATTGTAAATACAGCGTGATGTACACAAGTGCTAATGTGAACGTTAATGAGGTGCAGTAAAGCAACATATAGTAATAGATCCCGATCACAGTGATATATTACACCAAGGGAGCCATATGAAAGAAGTGTTGCTTTTAAGTCATGTAAGATCAATATAACAGCTTTGCATAGAACACAAATTGTGTTGTGGAATTCATTCATTTAAGAGGCTTCAGACAGCCACTCACTAATGCAGAGGTTTAATACTAGCCAACCTTTGACCAGCCAATACTCGACGCGCAGTAAACCTCTAATTTGTACACAAAGGCTTAGACCTAATGCAATTAGTAATGTAGCTGACAAATTATCAATCCATGAATGTTACGGATTCACAACAGCTCCTGTCCCAGCCAGGCCTCCTAAAGATTAAAGGAAAAACAAAGCAAAATATATTGAATGTAGAGGTGTAGATAATTTAACCTTTTTAATGCTGGTAAAAAAAATGGGGGGAAAACGACGCTGTTTATTCAGTTCTGATGACTTTTCAAGAATGACTTTTTCAAATCAGATTTATAATACAATAAGCAATAGATTGATGGCAGCCATATTACAAAGACTGATCTTGTCTCAAGATAATGCCAGTCATTCAATTTCTCAGTGTACAGTATACAGCCAATTACATTCCATGCGACTGGGTGGCTTGGATTTACCTTTTAATTTTCTATTTATCTCCACTGATAATGCAGACATAAAATATGAAAAACAGCCCTCCTCATTACTGATTCAAAGCAAAAACAGGGAACAGGTAAACAGAGGATCATTTGGTTCTGAAACATAAATTTGTCAGATGAGTGGGAATTTATGGACCTTTTAGACTATTTTTCTCCACCATCACTGGAATGATTTGTACAACAGTTCACATACAGATGCATACATGCATGTTTTTAAAGTATAAAAGTTCGGCCGTAGCATTTTGCAACGTTTCTGATTGTTGTCGTAAGTCTGTGGGTATCTTTACTGTAACATAATCCATAACGTACACCTAACTGGAGAAAAATATTCCACTGAACTGGAGGACTGTTGATCCATATGAAAGCAAAGCTAAGTTTTTAATATGTCGAGCATCCAAATACACAATGTTGTACAACTAAGTACAAATTATGTTTTCTTGTGTTCAACCTCAAGTTATTTCAAGAATACAACTATGAAAACACACTGGTGCAAGAGGTCATGTATTATGGATATACATGTTTCAGCTTTATTTAAATTAATATTTTATTATATGTATTAATATTTTTTACTTTCATCCATGTTTGAAAAAGTGTACATAAAGCCTATCTCAAAATAAGTACCTTGCAGTGGGGATACCCTCATTCATTCCTGAGGGAGCCTTCCTGTCGGCTCCCTCAGGGTCGCTAGACTGGTCCCTGCAGCCTCTTCTGCCCGTTAGTGCTCTACGGACTTATGATGTCAATATGTCTAATTCAAGATTCCTAGACAAAGCAAGGTGGTGGTGGTAGTGGTGGTGGTGGTGGGGGGAGGGGGGCAGTACAACCCTGACCAGTGGAAAAGTGGGGATTAGGTAAATAAATCTGCTTTACTACAGTCACTAGACAAAAATTAGCACTTAACCATTGCAGTGCGGGGTAGCCCCACTGCAAAGATTATTTTTTTGTTTGCTGGAGATGGGCTTTAATCAGCGTTCTGTTTATGGTAGATATGAAAATTTTCACAAGTTCTTAAAGTATATATTATCTAATCCCAATCATGTAATCCCAATCACTAAAATTTTAAATACATTTTAACATGTTAATGTAACTTCAGAAGTATTTTTTTTTATTTTTAAAGTGACATTAAAGTCACAAATGTTTTCCTCCCCCTTTAAATATGCAGCTTTCATTATAGTAATACCTTGTAATCCTGCCATGCATGTACTTGCACTTCCTGCAGTAGGCTGTCCCTGTCTACCAGTTGTGTTCTTGTGTTGTCCCCAGTCACACAGTCTTCTCATGAAGACTACAAATAACTGTTTCAACACACATTACCCAACCATGGTTAACTCTTGTTAACCTCAGGAAACCCCCCTTGAGAACGTCCATGTAGCCATCACGAGTGTATGCATATACAAGTTGTTGCAATAAGAGAATGCAGGAAATCAGGAAATCAGCAGCACTGAGTTGCAAAACAGGACAAAAACAGGATAAAAAAACAAATACTTTATTATTTAATAAAAGGCAACTCCCCGTGGTACACAGTGCTTTAGTAAACATGTGTTATTGCAAGCATGACAATGCATGGTGTGCTGCAGTGCCTTTCATTTAGAATAGCACCCCAATGTACAAGTACAGTAGGTGACAACAGACATGCACTGCAGCACACAATAACTCACATGCCATGTGTTGTGGTGGGCTGTGTCAGAAAACAAAAAGTTTAGGTCTATTTTCTTCTGTTGCCATGTGTTGCCAGTCCATTCTTAATGGAGGGGCTGTCTCTAACGTAACACACAATAATGCTACATGTTCCATGTGTGCACTAATGCACCACAACGGAGTGCCATAGTGCAAAAGGGGCCACAAAAGAAAAGTTAGCACAGTATTCCTAATTAAACATCCTACTCACTGTATTGCATAGGTCAGCATTAATGAGTCTCTGCAAATAATATTTGCTAACGTCATGCATTTACATTCACCTGCTTTCTCAGGGTATAATGTGGCTTAATAAAAAGCGTGTGGTTTTTCAGAATCATTCCTCTTCAGATTACAGTGAAAAGCAATTTCTTCGTGGAGATTCAAAGCAATGAGAAAGTCTACTAAGTTATTTCACAGTCAAAAGATAATTCCTTCTCAGATCCCGGGGATGCTGCTCAGGGCTCTCTGTAGATGAGGAAAGATTTGTTAAAGCCCTTACATGCCTCTACTCTGTAGCAGCGTGATTGCTCAGTCTCTGCTAAAATACATTAATTAAAAAGTCTTACAGCTGTCTGTTTAACAAACCTCTGAAATGCCTAATTTCCTTGTAAAAAAAATAGACTATTATTCACATCAGTGGGAAGATTTTCTTTGGTCAATAAAGTAAATATCTGAATATATGATCGTTCCATGTATATATTCAAATGATTAAAAGAGAATTTTAGACTTACATAAAAGGGGAACCATCAGAAAAGTATTGTAGTGATGAAATAGCTCATCTAAAGGGCAATGAAGATACTGGTGGAAACATCATTTTACTACAATGCTTTTAGCACTTTCCATCAGTCTCTTCCACATTCAAACTTTCCAGGAGTGAATAGATTTTTCCGAATAGATTCACTACTGGATGCCTGTGTTTTAACTTCCATCTCGAACGCAATTTCCAAGTTGACTGTGAGCTGGTTCTGCAACCCAAGCTGCCCCTCACAATTGTCCAGGTTTCAGTTTCTGCAGACATGTAAAGGGGAGTGATCAGACTATTTCATCCAGCTTTAGTCAATTAGGTAATGACAGTAGTGGCGGTAAATGGAGATGAAAATCAATTAGTAATAACAAGTTGGTGGTACATGGTTATGTGAAATGCAACCATGTCTAAATGATTTTGTTTGGGTGGACTTAGCTTTAATTCAGGCATCTGTCTGTCCAGGAAACCATGGGGCAAAGTCAATGAATTAGAGGGAAATATATCACTTCCTCTAAATAATGCTTAGCCATTGGCCAATATTAGGTGTCTATGCATGATAGACAACCTTTTCTTATTGGTTAATGGTTTTAATTGCATTACAATAATACTGAAATGATGCAATTAAGTCAGTGTTTCAAGGATTA